GCCAGTCCTCTTCAAATTGTGATTCCCAGCATAATAGACCATACGATTATCTGATTCAAAATGTCCAATACCAGTCCATTTCAGCTCACTAATGCCTAGGATATCGATGTTTATGCACTCCATTTCATTTTTGACAATTTCCACTTTTCCTAGATTCATACTTTGTACATTCCACTTTCCGGTTATTAAAGGATGTTTGCAGCTGTTTCTTCTTATTTTGAGTCGTGTCACATCAGTAAATGAAGGTCCTGAAAGCTTGACTCCGTCCACATCATTAAGGTTGACTCCGCTGTGAGGAGGCATCTCTTCCCCAGATGTATTTTGAGTGCCTTTCAATCTGAGGGACTTGTCTTCCAGCACAATATCAGACAATGCTCCGCTGCTATTCATAAGATTTTCACTGGATAATTCTTTTCAGAAGTAGACCACTGGGTCCTTCTTCCTCAGCTGTGTTAGTCTGAGAGCTCAGCTGAAACCTGTCCCCCATGGGTGACCCTGCTTATAGTCGAATACTGGTGGCATAGCTTCCAGTGTCACAGCAACACAGCAACCCTCACGCCCCCACAATATGACAGACTGATAGACATAATTACAACAGGGTTTTTATGTCCTTTTGACATATCAGAAGTGCTGATAACATTGAGGTTTTGTTCTCTCATGGTAGAAGACTGAGCTGAGAAGAATAATCGTGGAACTGACTATCAGAAAGGATATCTGCAGTATAGTTTCTCAACATGGAGGAAAAATATCACTTGCATATTATCATTATGCTTGTACTGTTATATCCATTTTTCTTAAATCTACTCTAAGAAAAATATTTCTTGTATCCATGTTGTGATTCAACATGGTAAAACAAAAGTAGTCTGAAAGAGGGGCACATTTCAAGAAGAATGGAAGAGAACATGCTACTTCTTTCATTGATGTTATGCACCTGGCATCGTAGCTATTTACATTTGCCATCTCTGGTGCAAATCAACCAGATTAAATCCTGTAATATTACCTAATAATGTTCTAACAGGTGGTCTCTCTATTAACAGGAAGTTGACTCTGATTCCTTTTACTCTTTTCTCAGAAAGCCTCTTGTATAGTCTGTGGTCAGTATATATCAATCCATGTTCAATCTGTTATTGTTTTAAAATACATTCCTTCTTGAAATGCAAATTTCATCCTATGCATATACATTTCTTCTGTTTTTCAAAATTAGTTCATTTTATTCTCTGTTAAAAGGTGATAATTGCCTCCAGCAAACTAATAAGTCAATTTAATA